TTAAACTGCAAAAAAATCACAAGGAAAGTGCAAAGACACTAAGAATTGCCTAACCAACAAGGTGCAGTCCATGAAACCAACTAGGTAAGGATAGCTGACAACATACTTCTCTGATTTTATCAAACTACAAATTCCAGGTTTAGCAAATATTGCGTCCAGCCCATCTGGCACAATTATTAACCCTTTGAAAATAGACTAGTAACAACAATAAGGTCTCTGGATCCAGTCAAGTCTACTTCGGTAGTACTTCAATGAAAACAAGACAAAATATATCTAGTCCGTAAATAAATGTGTTATATTTCAAGGAGCTAGGCATTGCTCCTTGGTAATTAGGTGCTTGTCCAAAAGAAACTAATAGCACAACTATTTTCTTTGTATGACAAATCTCCAACACATGATGCCTTGAACTATACTAAATGCAAAAATAAGTGCAACACTATTCACAGGATTTAGTTAGCAGAAGCAACTAAAATCCATCAAAATTCAAAATTCTGTGGTGACATAGATTCCAGACTCCCAGAGATGCAGTCAAAATTTTCAGAAAACACTGCATGGAATATGTCAACTGCTTTTAGTTGCATTTAGGTAAATTATGGTTCTGATCCTCCACATGATGAATGAAAAACATGTTTGCTTATTAAGCTAAAATAAAAACATGATAGAACAATGCATGCAGGCAAATTTATTGGCTAAAAAAATTCCACATATAGACATAAGAACCATGAAGTAGATGAATATGTAATTGAATAACATGTAGATAGTGATAATGTAACATATAGAAGAAATTTCATATACCACCACTTGCCAACCAAGTAAATGTCCAAGATGTGCTCCCATAACATTTATTTCACAACTGCCCAATTATAACCAAACCTACATTGGAATCAGTCTAGGTTTCTCCAATCTCGAAACAAGCGAATAGGCATTTTTCATTAATAGGAAATAAGCCTCAAAGAATTTTCCATGTGTCATCATCTGAATTCATATAATCCAAAACAATTTTTTTGCAGACAAGAACAGTAAAAAGAAATAAATAAAAATACTCAGAACGACTACATTTAATCAGCAAAACAAGCACAGTAACAAACAGAAACGAGTACCTTGATTGATTTAATAGAACTGCCGGGTATTTGACTACTAGCAAGGTTCTGGATGTTTGAACACATGTACTCAGCTGTAGATAATGCCTCCTTTGCGAAAAGCTTTTTCAGTTTATCTTCAAGATATCTCCATTTTGAACTCCCTATCTTGGAAAGGGTACTCAAAACAAAAAGAAGTTTCCTACCTAAATTGTGTAAGCTTGAAATCCTAAGTCCAATTGATGAGCAAGAACTTTCTGGCTCGGCAAAGTCACTCTTCACAACATGTCCACTGACTGTTGTGATGATCAAACATAAAAGAGACACTGCACGCTTTAAAGAACCCTCAAACAAAAGAAACCTTAATCCAGGAACAGTGTCAATAAAAAATATTTCCATGCGAACAACCGGCCATGCATGAACTAGTTCACCATGATGCATAATATAAAGGGCTTGGCAGAGCCAAAGACTTTCTCTTTGAAAAGCGAGTTCCAGAGTACACTGAGGCGGTAGGTTCAGTTTAAATATCACTACTTTAAATTCTTTCCATGTCACAATCATATTGAGTTCCTCTGCAGCTGCTTTGCTGTTAGCAACTGAGGCATGGATTCTCACTGAACCACCTGGACCACCAGGAGCAGCACCCTGCACCACTCTAGTGTCCAAAACGTCCCTTTTGCTGCGAAACCGTTTCCTGAAATAAACATAAGGTAACTTCCTGCATTCAGAGTCAACACTCCTCTTCAGCTCAGAAAATCTGTTAAAGTTCTGATCACATGACTGCTCCGACTCATTGCAATTAAAAAATAATTTATTTGGATTCTTATCCAATGGATTCATAGACATACTTTCCTTTGATTCTAGTAACACAGGACTGATGTCCTTCAGAGGACTAACTCTGAGATGCTTCTTTATGGTACTAGAAGGGGAGGATGTAACGCGGCGAGTAGTTCGTGACAACCATGAAATAATGGGTTCTGATTCCAGGAGGCTGCCTATGTAACTGCTCTCCATGGCTTCTGGCTCTCCCTCTGTGTTATTCTGTCTTGATTCTGACCCCTGTTTCCCAAAATTAAACTTGCTAGAAACTTCACTGGGGAAAAGCAATAACTTGAATCTCTCCTTTTGGAGATTAATCCATTCTTCATCACGATCATCATACTTAACATGATGCAACCTAGTTACAGGATCATAACCCTTAACCAGGCCAAAATACCAATTTTTATCCAAAGGCCAGAACACTCTGATCCGCTGCTTAACGATATAATAGGGATCCATATCCCTCGAGCAGACCTCGTAAAAGTGGCGACGCTTCCTAGCAAAGCTTTTACCAATGTGTCTCCTTGGCCGCAGCACCCGGCCTGTAGCATCTACTGAACAAGCTTCAGCCTGTGAGACCTTCGACATTGCATGGTCGGACTGCAAATATGTTAAACCTTCTACTGGTTCTGCCATACATGTAGTCCTTTTCCCGGAGAAACCAGTGCAACTTGGATCGAATCGTGAAGAAAGCATTCTAGCAGCATCCACTTCAAGGTTTTCCTCGTCATCATCCTGAGAAACCTCAACTGAATCCCCACTGTCATCTATCAGAGGTGCATCGCTCTCGAGACAACCCTGTTCGGACATCTTCAAGTTTATTCTGCTTCCGTAATTTCTATAATCAGACTTAAAATGACTGTCATTTTCAACACTGGTGCAAGGAGCAGAATCATCTTTCTGATACCCATTCAGCTCAAAATCATCAGCTTCCAACATCTGCTTGTCATTTAACACCTGTGAAATCGAATTTTCACCGATGGAAGATTTGTTATTCTGAGCATCAGTATTAATCCTCTCATAACTAGAATTACTAAAAGCTACTTCGAAGCTGATAGGATCTTTAGCTTTTCTCCACTTAGAAATACCCCTAGGCCGCTTCGGTATAAAGAGATCTTCTCCGAAATAGCTCTTGTTTTTAGAGGTTACACCACTCGGAGATTCATGATCTGTCTTGTTTGGCAGTGGCGAATAAAAATCGCTTGCTAAATATTGTGCATTCCCATTTGACCCATCCAGATCATGTGTGGCATCGCTTCCACTGGTGGAAATGTAGTTTCGCTTTGGTCTTGAGACATTCAAACTGCCGCGCTGCCTCCTAGAATCAGGCTGGAGATTGCTCAAAGAAACCTCTTTTCTACTTGGTTTCCTTGTGGATTCTGAAAGAAGCTCTCCTACCTCATCGAATGATGACCCAAGCTTCTTCTTGGGAACTTTGGATTCTTGTTCCAACCTCGAAACCTCCCTCCCAGCCCAGGATTTTATAACTGAACTACTTGATTTCTTCACGTAAATGCTCTGGAGATCCAAAGATCTCGGCTTCTTAGGTATGTCGGATGCTTCAGCTCTCTCGAGGCTAATTTCCATCTACAATTCCTGAATCCCAATGAAAGAAAGAAAACCCCCAAATTTTACCACCCATCATACATGACGAGGAAACTGAATCCCTAATTTCGGATCCGGACGCATAACTCCAAGCGCACGATCCCAAAATTCTCCCAAATCAAACCTAAACAACAAAAATCACCGATCACAACCATTTCCCCCATCGATCCCCCAACAAAATCGAAGCGATCAAGAGCGGAGATGACACAACCACATACCTGGACCGGGAACGACGACGCAAGCCAAATCCCCCATCGATAGGATCCGCAATCGACGGACAAACCGGTTCCGCAGTCCAATCCCACCTTCCCTCCGCAGGAATCGCCCGATTGATCGAGGTTCTCGACGGTGATTTTTTCAACCCTAGAAAGAGACGGGGCCTAGGGTTTCATTCATTCCAAGGGACGTGAGGGCTCGGGACGGAAAAAAAAAAGAAAAAAAAGGAAAATGAGAAAAAGAGCGAGTTACTCGGAAAAGGACTAGGCACGATCCGCCCGTCAGATCTCGATCGGACGGTCTGAATTCCTTGTGGCGACGACCGGGGAGCTAACGGCATCAAGCTGGATTCCAAAATCTTTATTCCACCGCGAAGAAACGAACGGTGGAGATCGTTTTCGTTGATGCTACGGACGGGTGGGATCCGATCAAGCGATAGCGAGAGTTTGGGCCTGCCGTGCGACAGGTCATCGTTAACGGAAATTTCTAAAAGGCGCCTCGACTCTTTTACTTTTTCTGGTCGAATCCACATCTTAAATGCCCCAACCATCACAGTGATTTACGGTGCAATGCCATTGGGGAGGTATACGTGCCCCTTCCTCTTCTCTTGCTCCGATGCAATATAAGTTGGGTGGGGCCCGGGCCGTCCTCTGCTTGGATATATGACTTGTGGTCCAAGGATAGGTTGGTAATTGTGGCTTTTGTTTGGGCTAGTTTTAGCGCTGTCTTAATACTACAACGATTCTCGGATCATTCGCGGGAGAATCTTTAGATTCGTCCTCAACGAGATTCCAATGGAATGGATAGATGGTTTCGAGTAACAATAGTACCACCATCAACAACGATAACAACAAGAAAAAAAAAAGGGGGAAAATGTAACAACAATATTACCAACCACTTGGAAAATAAAAAAGATCTAATTACTTCAATTTATTTTATTTACAACTCAGCTGGTAGCTCTTTTGGTACACGTCAGAACGTAACATTAGTTGTTGATTGGTACACTACTCACGACCAGCTTTTAGGAAGAGAACAGTATATTATATTCAAGAACTATATTTCGTTACGTCTATAATATTTGTTATTTGAAGATCGAGCATGTTAAAGGCTCATGACAAATTTGATTTGACCCAAATGTAGGGTTTTATTTGTTTCTTGAATTACCGAACAAGTGGCACGGTATGAAGACCTCCATTAAGAAAAGGGACAAACAATGAGGTTTTGACACACGACGACGCCTCAAAATGGCGTACTTCTTTAACCAAGAACACCACAAAGCTGATGGGAAGATGCTATATTATCGATGGCTAAGTATCAAAAGTCTATTAGGGAAAGGAATAGTTACATAACACGAGATATTTCACCATTTAAGAACACAGTTATCAATGGTGGAATGATCATTCGCGGGGGATGTGAATGGCCACTTAAGAACAGATAAGATACAATCACTGTATTGTAGAGTATTTTCACTTGATCCTACAATTCCTAACTCCCACTTAACCTGCACCTTGGATCTGCTAGGAAAATGGGAAAAGAAGCCCCAGATGGAAGAACATGTATTCTGTCAATCACCAGAGGTAAAGAGGGAAAAATAATTGTGGAAACAAAAAGGTACAAAGAATGCAGATCATGGGTACCGGAGATGGTTCGGTTGAAGGTGTGTGGTAGGTAGAATTATGCAACAAAAAAGAGGAAGATCATAAGGAAAACCATGAGGACGAAGAATATTTTGATCATCAGCCACCTGTTGCTGGATATGCTGTTGAGGTACCTGAGGAGTGCACCTTGTGCTCCCTCCACGTTAGCTAATGTGTCATCCATGTTCTCATCGATCCTGAGATAGTCAATACCAGTTAATTAGTTTCCACACAGAAAAGGACTATAAACTTTATAAGCAGTTGGATCAGCTCAACTTATGCATTACCACACAACTGACTATGTTCAACCAAGGTATCTTATTTATTCTATCCCTGCCACCAGCAGTCTTGCTGCTAGTTATATACCAAAGTCTTCATCCTTAAAAAGCTAACCGCGACAGCATTGATGATTTTTTATAATGTCCATTTTTAAAGATGAAGAAATTGATCCAAATCGAGATTCAAAAATAAAATAATCTAAGATTAGAACTTTAAACAACATGAACTGCATGAATAGGTTGATCAAGAGATGCCAGAGAAAAGGCAATTGGTTCAACTCAGCATATATAACAGCAGACAGGCTTTGTGAATATTTGTCGCAAAGAATTCATGCATGATTAAACTTGGAGATTCTAGACAAAGTTACAACTAGAGTAATCAAATGAAAATTAAGAACATGTACTCTTTGGAGATTCCAGACAAAGTTACAACCATGGTAATCAAATGAAGATTAAGAACATATACTCCATCCATCAATACAAGTAACGGTATCAATACCAAGATAACTATGGTACATTGGTTTACAATTTATCATTGCAGGTGAGATATATAAACACAAATAATCAAATAAAAATATGGTAGTCTAATATACAAAGCTCCCACTGATGTGATGTTTGGAAGGTGTCTATATATGCAGCTTTAACCCTACAAGTAGCAACTCTATTTCCATGACTGAAATCCCAATCACCAAAAGAGCAACCTTTCTGTAAAGCATGTACACAATCCAATAATATGTGTACTCGAGAATCTCGAGTGTTCTTATATTTTACTGAAGGATGATTCTAAATGGCTCATGACTAAGATGATTGAGGGGTAAATCCTAACAAGAATGTACAGGGAAAGAAAAGATTAAAGAAAAAGAAAAAGAAAACTATCATAGCAAGAAAAAAAGTGACCTGATTGCAAGCTCTCCCTGCTGTGAAACCATGGTAGCTAGTTGTGTGAAAATATTGCTCAACTCATGAATTGTTGACTCAACATTCTGAAGAGCTTCTGCTCTGCTCTGCATGTAACTATCCTGTATTGGAACTATTTGTTGTTGTTGCTGCTGTTGTTGTATCAAAGGCTGAGTTGAGGATGACGGGTCCTCATTTGTCTTCCTCCTGTCAACCAAGAATCATCAGAATTAACTAGATGCAGATCACCATATGGACAATGTAGACTGAACTCAGAAATTACTGGAGGCACACACCACATTTCAATTAAAAAAGGATATCATATTAATAACAAAATGATAATTAACCTTGACAATTCCATCTTGATAGATAAATTATTGTAATATGAAGATTCAAATTGAGTTACGGAAATTATGATAACCAGTAATAAGTTAAGAGTATTAATTGAGCAGTTCGTAAAATTACCTGGGAAACAAAGGAGAAGAAGATGTTGAGCTATTTTCCCATGGTGCTGGGGGAGCCAGAGCAGAAGAGTCATTACTTCCCTTGGAAACCAGTGGGCGTTGTCTAAGGAAAGGATTGGTTGCATCCTTTGAGGCTGATGAAGAAAATAACTGTCTTCTGTTCTCATGAACCTTCAAATTCTATAGGTAAAATTTCAAAAAGAATATGAAAAGAACACATTAGTTAATGATTCTGGTGATATTAAAAAAAGAAAGGGGAATGCGTGACCAAGACAGAGCTAGAAGAGGTAACATTTGGTTTACCTCAGTCCGCATGGTTAAAACTTCTTTAAACTCCTTCGTTGTGCTCATCAAACGGTTCTTCAAATTATCAACAACAGTGGTTGAGTGATTGGTAGTGTCCCTGGACATATTTCCACCTTTGTTCTGTGAATCACAAAGATGTTGCAGGTCTACAACTGCAGAATTCAGGGCAGTAATATCCTGCTTGATAACTGCTGTCAGTTCCTGAATCTCAACAGTAGGGTCATCAAAAACCGATGTCCTTTTTGCCACTGGAAAAACAAAAGCATCTCAACATATGGCACCTGACTATATTTGTCTAGTAAACAATTAGCTGTGAGTACACAGTCCTAAATATGGTTAGAAATTACGAAAGGTGAGCATAGTAAAACAGAAGCATCCCATCATTACTGAAGTATGGCCATCCAAGAGATTCTTATGTGCGCTTGTGCCTGGGATCTCCAAGACATGCCATATAGCCAAAGCCAGCTAACTGTTGCATGGTTCAAGCAACTTTTCTGATATAAAGAGCACAAAGTATTATCTTGTTTGAATCAATTGTGTTCTATAACTTCTCATTTTCGAAGTTATTTGCCATATGGAGCTGATAAGATATTTTTAAAAAGGTAATATTATGTTATTTAACTTTTAGGAAAAGAGAAAACTATAATTCAGCATTTCAAAGATAATGTTTTAAAATTTACCAATTGACAGAATTGTTTTGAATTTTCATGAAATTAAGGCATTTTACAGAAAATAATGTTGGTAAGTTTTTTCTAGGTTATGTTTGTAAGAGGTGGTTCTTACTTGTTCTCACTTCATATGGTTCCCAGCTGAATGATAGATCTTATTGTTTGTTTATAATTACTAAAACACTCACGATCATAAAAATCATTAGAGAACATCTGATGATTCACAACTTTGTCCACTTTCTGATGATAAACCAATCTAAGCCCTTTATGAATTACAAACACAATCCAAATCCTGATAAATTCAATGTTTTAAAGATTAGACTGAAAAATCAGTCCAATCCCTTTATGAGTTGTACACTCTCTACCAAAGTTTGAGAGTCCTTTTTCTCACCAAAACCAAGTAGAAGTTCTTCTTTAACTGAGAACTAAAAGCTAGACCTGACTTGCTCTCTTGGATCAACACACTGAAACTATACAAAGCTGTCATATGCTGAATCATGCTAGCAAGTGGACCCTTTTAGTGATTAAGGATACCATTTGGCCTTTAGGGAGAGGGTTCAAGGTGGAGAGGAGGAGCAAAAAGCAGTAGTAATATGGAAATCAGAATTACAAAAGGCAATATCTTTAGCTGGGTATCAAGTTTTATTTATTGGTGATAATTTTTAAGATGTTCCAATTTATGGCGTGTTCTAAACTGCCTAGTTCGGGGCTGCCAGACGAATACTGGTGCTGCATAGTGTTACTAAACAGACTGGTACGTACAGTAACTTAAATCATCACCAAGATCTGGGAACTCATATAGAAGCATTAACTACCGGACGAGGAGACTGAAAGACACATACAAATGAATCGGAATTCAAAATGTGATGGATTTGTATAGAGCATACATGCTAGTCTAATTAGTATAGCAGCCCTAAACAGTTCATATCAAACGGAGATTCTCAACTGATGACAAGCATCACACGTTCACATTCAACCCCAAAAACGAAAGCAATTTCTCATGAGAATGGTAAAATACTTACACTTCGCAAGATTGGTAAGTTTCTGGGAGGTCTGATGGATCCCGAGACCAATTTGCGAAGCTCGCTTACTGAACTCCGACTGGATCGAGGCAGCCGATTTCGGTACTTCCAACCTCGATACAGCGTTACTGCTCGGTGCATCTGGTGTGGATGAGGACTTCTTTAGATTCTCGATAGTCTTGATGAACTCCTGCGTCCGATCGCGGTAAGACGTTTGCCCATGCCTCGCATTCATCGCCAAGTAGCCCTAGAGCCCCAACAATCACCTCAAAGAAGTACAAATTCTAACCGCCAATCTTGATCCTAGGGATCCCAAATCAATCCACTGGCAGAATCGCTACCAAGACTCAGAGTCGAATCAACTTGCCAGATCTACAATCGCCAGAAAAAAAACCAACCTCAACCTCTCTTGCGGCTCGAATCAACGAAAATCTGCGATTTCAGGAGAAGATAACCCTAGATCCGGGCTCGTAGTCCCGGAGACAGAACAGAAGTAGGGGATCCCGTTCGATAGATTTCAAGATCCAAATGAGGGTCGACGGAGGCGAAGATGCAGCGACGAATCAAGGTTGATAAGCCACGGAGACCATCCGCCGACGAGGGGTGATGAAGAGAAACGCGCACAAGTTTGGAGCAAAAGGCCGTTATCGTGGGCCGGGCGGGATGATGAAGAATGGGCTAAAGCCTAATGAAAAGAGACGTCGAGTCGAGCAAGCACATGCAGCAGAGGCCGAATCACAAAATACGAATTATTAGTCGGCCATAATAAAATATAATTTAAAAAAATAAATATAATTATATATTATATAAATAATATCAAATTAATTAATAATCATAAAAAAATTATAAAATAATAACAATAATATTTATAAGGTTTACACATTGTAATAATATTCAAATACAAATATATCCAAATATAATTATGACTAAATAAATATAATATTAAAAAATAATATTTTTTTCTATTATAAATATATCCAAATAAAATCTATAAATTAATAATTGATGCTCATATATCCATGCAAGATGGAACCCATGTAAATAAGAAAAAGTATAAATTATCAATCAATAAAAACTTGAAAATAAATAATATTATTAAAATAAAATATGTATAAATTATCTCCCAATCATCTTTATCCTCTACTATTAAATATTAATTTATTAAATAAGTATAAATAATTAATAATTAATATTAAATAAATAAAATTAAATATTTTTTTTACTCAAATTAAAATTGATACCATATATTTCATCCATAACCAATCTTGGATATATATTAAAGCTTCTAATTTGACAATGTGGACTCACAAATCTACCACCAGTGCTAAAGATAGACTCTAATGCAATAAATATATATTAGAATTATTAAAATATCTCAATCAATATATCTTGTAATGTAGGGTACTTAATCTCATTCATTTTTATTAGAAAGTCATGGCAAGAAAAATTCATCCAAATATTTGTTTCTCTCTTATTTGACATTGTCACCGGTAATATTATCGAAAATTAACAAAGGATTACTATTTTATTCTAAAAAAAGGATATCTAATTTAGAGAATATCAAAATGAGAAGATTTTTAGGATGAATCAGCATATTAAATCTTTGAAAAATAATACTCAATCAATTTCATCTTAAATTTTGGATCCAAAATGGTTGTTATCTCATGAATTGCATTACAATATTTTGCAAACTTTTCTACCATATTATATGTTACTGTTCTAATTTCATTGCAACTAGAAATTACTGATCTCAGCTCACAAACCTTAGCAAAGAAGAAAAGATTCACCATGGGATATTGGTTCTTGAAAATATCTCTATAACATTATAAAAATAACTTCAATTTATCACAACAATCTAATCTTCTTCTACATTATAAAAATATCTCTATCAAATTCAATATGAAGGCACAACAACACATATGAAATAATTCTGAATTCTAAAATAAATTATCTAACAAAATAGAAATCACAACATCATTGGTAGAGCAATTGTCTACAATTAAGTCGACAACTTACAATCAATGCTCAAATCTAACAAACAATCCATCAATGAGGAAGGAAGTGCTTCATCCATGTATGGACATAGCAAATACATAAACCTAATGGAAATGAGCACACATAAAAAAAAGTTATAATCCCATTATAAAACTTAAAATCATTATAAAAGCTAGACAATATGGAACATGCTAGTTGGGCATTGCAAGCTTCAACTGCTTCTGGATACTTATTTTGATGTTAGTATCACTGCTATTTGAGAGCTCCATTTGACCTGCAGGTAATGATCCAATGTCACATAGCAAGAGAGCTTGAGAAAGTAGGAAAGCTATTCATATAGAAAATAAGTAAATCTATTAACACTGAATTGAACCAATCATTCCATAACCATGAGAACAAAGAATATTTTGACCATCAGCCACCTGTTGCTGGATATACTGTTGAGGTACTTGAGCAGTTCACCTTGTGCTCCCTCCAAAGTAGCTACTATATCATCCATGGTCTCATCATTCCTGCCAAACTCAATGCCAGAAAGTAGTACATTTAGATCAGCTGAACTTTATAAGCAGTATGGAGCTCTTTGTTGTTGCTGCATCAAAGGCTGAGTTGAGGATGATGAGTTCCCATTTGTCTTCCTCCTGTCAACCAAGAAGCATCAGAATTAACCAGATGCAGATTACCATGTGAGGCAACACACCACATTACAATAAAAAAAAGGATAATATATTAATAACAAGATGATAAAGATTATTTTTATTGTGGTGATCAAAATATTATAACGGATCACTCATTTACATGATATTATTTATAAACTATTATAGATACCTATTCAAATCCTAATATGATGAATCATATGATTTTTAGTATATTCTGATTTTATTTGTCTCACTTACAGTATTTAAAAAAAGCACTGTAGTATTATTTTTTAGGTACAGAGTTATTAAAAAAATATTATAAATGATCATTTATAGTATTTCACATAGGTTTAATAGTATTTTTATTACTGTAATTAAAACACTATAACAAATTAATTTTTAGTCCTTATTTGGATGGTGAAATTGCTGTGCAATATAATTGAAATAAATAAATGCTATGGGAGATGAACTTGGGTTGGTAGTAGATAGATATGCTGTCAAATCTTAATCTATGTTCAGCAAATATACTTGAAATAAATATTTATCCTTGCATTGCACTCTCACCAATATAGTGTGGCATATACACACCACAATATAATGTGACAGAGAGAGAAGAGAAAAAAACCAAATTTGACCGTGAGACGTCCGGTCCGGTCCGGTCCGGTCCGGTCCGGGTGAACGTCCCTCGGACCGTTTCGTGACCATATCGTACATCATCCATATGAACAGGAATTGCATGACGAATCAAATCCCGACACCTCATCACCGTCCTCTACGTACGCATACATAAAAGCTAGTCAAAAGCAAAAGCTACTCGCATTCATACCAACGAGATGGGTACATTTGTCACGTCGGGGAAGCCGCATCGGCGATCTTATCTTTCAAGCTCATGCCAACATGTACACGAGACAACATCCCATCCGTTGCCTGATGAATCCAACGGTGTGTATTCATTCCTATAATATTTATATGCGACCGATCATTAAACGTTTCTTACAACGTGGACGCGTGTCGGACCAGGAAGGCACCGCAGGCCGGCGACGTCCATGAACCGTCGGATGCGAGTGGTTTCGCTCCGGAAGGGCCAATTGCAAACACGGTTTCCAACGAGTTCGTTGCACGGGATCCGGGCGACTGGCCCTTCTCGAGTACCAAAGCGTACCTACCTTCTGCGTTTGCGCTGTGCCGCTGTCGTGTGCCAGCAAGCGAGCCCTAAAAAGGGCGGAGGGGCCTTTCGTTTAGCCTTTTGCGTGAGGATCGAGGGAGGAGGCGTGCCCTAACGCTTTCGTTCTTTGGCTCGTTGCGATCGGTGGTTTTCTCTCTGTTCCGTTCTTCTTTTTGTCTTCGTTGCTTCGGGCGGGCGTTTCTTTTCGGGGTCGGCCTTGTGGAGCTGATCGAGACGGAGAAGGTGGGATGTGAAGAGATGGAAGGGAGCCTCGGAGATGGAGGTGGTGGCGCTGTAGGAAAGAATGGGGAACGAAGCGACGGACGGCCGCCGAACCCTTTCGCTGGAGCGTATCGGCAGAGCTACGACGTGGCCCTTGGCGGATCCCCTGGCGTGGCAACTCTCATTCGCCATGGCTCTCTTGTACGTCTCATTCCTTCTCTTCTCTCTTTATATCTTAGGTCGCTATATTTTGGCCTGAATGATGTCGTGCCCGTCGAGATTTAGTTTTCGGTCTTGCTATCTTATGTTATTTTACGTTGATAGTATCAGATCTTTTAATAAGCAACTGAGAAGTGTGTTCTTGCGGTTCTTATGTCTACCTTTTCTCGTTTAAGATTAAAATGGGTGTTAAAGATCTAAGCTTTAGGTTTCTCTCCGTTGTATTCTTATTTTTGCGTCTTTTGTTTCTGTTCTTCGGTTTTTCTTTATTTCAGGATTCTGAAGATTTGCCCTACATGTAATGTCCACCATGTTTGAAATTGTTCCTGACTTACGTCAGTGCGTAATAGATCTGGGGTTTGCGATCAATTTTTTGTGAATTTAGTTTTTTTTTTCAGTTAGATGATTTCCTCCAAAATCTTCCCTTTTTTTTTCCTTTTTGGTGGTCAGACTATAGAAAAAGCCTGTGATATGCTGATTTGGATAACGTTAAAGAATGGAGTGAAATGAAGCTAAATGCTTGTGAATGAGGAAAGTAGTGCTCTTCGCTTTGGATTAATTAGGATTAATTTCGATAATGAGATATAGATTACACATACATTACACCACCTAGCTGTATAGATAGCTATGTGGTATAATGTATGTGTAATTTATATGGCCTTTATGAGATTGTATCATAAATTGTGTGTTATGCCGACATCCAGTGAGAACATATTGGTTCATGATCATTGAAAATATGATGGCTAGATGGAATATACTAAAGGATTTAGTTATTTCATTAACATGGTGCTGGTTAGATGGTGACACACCTAAAAGATGGATAAACTTAGCTCAGTAAAATGCTATGAAGGCCAACCCACAATGGTTTGAAAAGCTGCCTTGATGTAAGTGGTCAAGATTCTGTATGGGGCATATGCTATATTCAAGTGCATATGTGATAGATGTTAAAAGGTTTAACAAAATGGAATCATTTTGAGCCATAAGATACATGGAAAGTTGAGCATCATGAAAACACTTTCTACGCCATGTTTTATAATACTAAAATGATATAATCACATTAGGGAGGAAGTAAACGTAGACCCCATACTGCAATCACATAGGGTTGCAGGTGTTATGTTGTCTTTTTTCCTTGACTTCATAAGAATTTTGTTTGTTCGGATTTCTTTTGCCAATATGATAAGTTACTGCATGACAGTATCGCAGGATTCTATCTCTCCATTAACTACATATTTTGTTGAAGACGAAACTGGTTGAAAATAGAATACAAATAATTTGTTATGGTTGATGATATTACTAGACAGGAAATAACGAAAATTGAGCTTTATTGAAGATTCTGTCCAATGAATGAAGTCAAGATTTTTGTAAATAGGCATTACACGTGAAATGAATCTGTAAGCATATTGTTTCCAAAAGAAGAAAGGTGGATGATTGATTACTTTTAGTAGTCACAGGCCTGTGTGTCCATATATGCAGCTGCATAGTGGATCCATAGTTATGAAGCATTTAAGTCCTATGTGAAACAGTACATGATTGTATACACATTCGAGGCTATGAACACTGCATTTTTGGAACATTTGTAAACCACATGCAGTTAGTAGGCAGAATGTTAACATTCAAGTGGCAGAAGTTTTTCTGTTGTTATAGTATTGCCACATAAGAGTGTTCCGGAAAAGATCTTTTTCAAAGTCCATGTTATTTAGAGTTAACATTCAAGTGGCATCTTTCTCAAAGGCCATGTTATTTAGAGTTAACATTCAAGTGGTGCATCCCATCGATTTCAATTTGATACTGCTTCTTGGACTGTTTTTAGATGATAGATAACATATTGAAACTAGTGGTATTTGGGATTTTATTTTGCAAGAAAGAAAAAAGAACATGTAGCTCTCACAAGGAAAAGAGTTAAGCAAGATGAATAAACAAGCTGATGACGACAGAAATTTGTGCACTAGGATAATACATTTTCATGGGGTTCTGTAGACGTGTCATCTTGTCTTGGGCCTTTTTGTGAATTAATTGGTTCCTTTCTTTTCTTTTTGGCTGATATTTCATTGTTAGTGTGAGAGTTCTCTGACCTGTCAGTTTACTTGATGCATGTGGCTGAATCTATGTTGAGAATTTGATAGATGAATAACAGCTCATCAATGGACTATATTGTGGTAGACATGCTGCTGTCAGGTCTCATGTTATCAACAAAGTATTATCGCAAATGATGATGTTACAACATAATAGAGAATTTGCTTAAATAGATTTTTTTTAATTATCTCGATAAATTTCCATTTAGCTTCAATATTGCCACAGTGATTCTGTGATTAAATAGATTGCCTCAGTTTCCCCTTGTCCTTGTGTCATAACAAAAGTTAGTGCTGCAGACAAAGACAGAGGGACTGGATGTTCCTGTGGAGGATGAGAAAAGCAATGAAGATTTTGAAACCGACTTTCTCCCGATTGTGCGATCTGGGGCTTGGGCTGATATAGGAATCCGGCCGACAATGGAGGATGCCTATGTTTGCTGTGATAATTTCATACAAGAGTATGGGCTCAAGAATTCTGGAGGGCCTAATGCATTCTATGGGGTATGTATATATACATTTTTAATTTTATGTAGGGTTTTTCCCACAAGTATACCAAACTTTCTACAGCTTGGTGTTGACCACTTACCAAAGAAAATGCATGCGTAGTTATTAGCATGGCGCCAAGCTGGGACAGCATTTTGTTTAATTTAGTCCTCGCTTGCAAATATTGATACTGTGACAAAGATCACTAGGTCTACTTTCTTTTTTGTCATTTTCTTAATCTACACCAATATGTTCCTGGATTGTTACCTGTTGCTAACTTTGATTATGTAAGCACTCGCTCTTAATAGGTTTTTGATGGGCATGGTGGAAAGCATGCTGCAGATTTTGCTTGCAGCAATTTGCCTAGATTTCTCTTAGAGGATGAGGATTTTCCAGGAGAGATTGAAAGAGCGGTTGCTTCTGCATTCTTGCAGACAGATACTGCTTTTGCAGAGGCCTGCTCTGTCAACTCTTCTCTTGCTTCTGGTACAACCGCACTGGCTGCACTAGTTGTTGGAAGGTCAGGTCTTGTTTACTTTTTTCTTTTTAGAGTCTTTTTTTCTTGATATCTTCCTCTTTCTTAAGATTCATTTTGGGGATTTCTCGTGGCAATGGCATCAAGTTTATCAATACATAATGTTTTCTCGTGCTTATTTGTATCAAAAGTGGGTTTTGCTACCCTTTGAACTGACTGCTCTGGAAGATCTCCCCTGGTGGTTCATAAAGTTTGAATTTCCATCCCTGATCATCCTGAAATTTCTCTTTATTTTTCCTCAAAATGCAAACTTGGCCAGACAAATAATGTTTTCATTCTACGTTTGTGGTTTCTTTCAGATTAATTTTATGCTTTTTCCCTTTTGAAAAGTGTCATTCAAGTTGACACCTGACTCATTCCTTAAAAAGGTGTCTGCTTAGAATCGTCAGACTAAGATCATTATCATCAGCTAGTTCTGCTTGTGAATATTGTTTGCTCTTGTTTCCGTTCTCACCACTTCTTTGTGGTCATTTAATTTTTCTTTATACTAACTACTATAAAATCATGGAGGTAGTCCATTCGATCTGTTGTCTTGGATGGGATATGTGCTAAGAAATAATTGTTTGTCAATGTCGAGCACGTATCTTTGTCATCATTAATATGTTTTAATTATATTTCTTCATACACAAAACTTAATTGTCATACATGCATTTTTTGGTTCATTGTGATTGTTACAGGTGGCTGTAAACCATGCAGAAGATTTTTGAAATCTACTAAATCCAAGTTTTCTTCATACACAAAACCTGCCTGCTAAACATTATATATGTTTGCTTCGTGCTTTCAATTCAATTCAATTCATGTTGTCAAGAAATCCACTTCTCTTAGATGTTGTCGTCTTTGTTGTACAGGTCACTGGTGGTCGCTAATGCCGGAGATTGCCGTGCCGTTCTTTGCCGCCGTGGAAAGGCCATCGACATGTCGCACGACCACAAACCGGATCGCAGTGAAGAGAGGAAACGGATTGAAGCTTTGGGGGGATTCGTCTGTGATGACTATCTCAACGGTCTGCTTAACGTGGCCCGTGCCATCGGGGACTGGCACGTCGACGGGATGAAGGATCGGGACGGCTTGGGGCCTCTCAGCGCCGAACCTGAGGTGATGACAAGGAGGCTAACGGAGGAGGACGAGTTTCTGATCCTGGGATGTGATGGCTTCTGGGATGTCTTCCGTAGCCAGAACGCCGTGGACTTGGCGCGCCGAAAGCTCCAAGAGCACAACGATCCGACCACATGCTGTAAGGAGCTCGTCGACGAAGCGCTGAAGAGGGAGAGCAGCGACAATCTCGCTGTGGTTTTGGTGTGCTTCCAAACCAAGCCGCCGCCGGTCATGACTGCTCCGCGGCCTCGAGTTCGGAGGAGTATATCGGGAGAGGGGCTTAGGGAGTTGCAGAGCTTTCTAGATAGACTGGCTGATGGAGCGTAGGAAGGATTCATTGTCGACAACCTTGTGATCCAAAACCGTAGGGTGGATTTTAGATGAGCTCGTGTTTTTGCCTTCCTTTGGTGAGATTTGTTATTGGTTGGTTCAACTGTAGCATATGCGGTGGCTCATTGTCTGTCATCTGCAGTGAGTTTCTTTTAGCCCTCAACTGTAGTAGGCATATGGTATTGGCATAAGCATTTATTATCTTTAGGTTCATTGTTAATTCCATCCACGGTCACAATTTAAGACTTGTGCTGAAAATTTTGGTGGGAGTGGTGGTGTATAAGTTTCTTAAAAAGATTAAAAAGATTAAAAAAATATATAATATAAGTTATATATTGGATGGTATTGTTTTATACATGATTTGCAGACATCATTTTGATTTACTAAGGTTTGTATGTATGTATGTATTAAAAAGTTAGCTAATTTTGATCATTATATTTTAAAATTTTATATTAGAATATTTATAGCTATGAAAGTGAAACATCTAATCTTATTTACTCTAATATCGTCAGTTTTATCAATGGAAATATAAAAATAATAAATAAAAAGATAATCTTAATATTTCAATTGATGATGGTGGATGATATGAATGATGATAAATAACAATGTTGCTAGGGGTTGCAGCGACAACGAGAGGTGACTATCACTCTGCATTTGTATTGACGTCAACATAGTTGCCGAGCGACGTATTGATGTAGTTGCCAATATTTGCATTTATGTCGGTGTTGACATAGTTGTTGAGCGACAAAAGGGTCACTTGACATCTACATCAATGCCAATGTAGATATAGATCGACACTCGACATTTCTTGACAATTGCATTGACACATCGCTCGGTAATTATGTTGGCATCGACACATATGTAAAACGACTCTCATCTCTCGTTACCGTTATCCCTCCTCATCCACAATCACCTGCAACCTCCAACGATATCATCGTCCATCACCACCGATAGTGTTTGCCGACACCAACTGAAACATTAAAATTAATATTTTGTTTATTATTTTTGTATCGATAAAATCAACGATATTAGAGTAAATGGATTTAGATGTAACTATAGAGATTTCAATATAAATTTTTTAAATTTAAAGATCGAAATACTAAACAGATGATAATCTATAATTAGACCATTAAAAAAAAATTAATTGGTATAAATATTTTTATATTATTTTCTTTAATAAAAATATAAGGATGTTGCATTTTACATAGGGATGAAGAGATTAAGTCATATATAATAACTTAATTACTTTGACTTTTATATTATCCAATATTGTTGTATAGTAATCGTCATTGGTTTTTATTAACAATAGTTGGACGGCTATTACTTAAGACGACGTCTTTTCACCGGCTATTTTGACAAAACGAGAATGGGGAACACTAGTGATGATAGTGATTCATGAATCATGGAATGATTCGGAGAAGGAAAAGACTCCCAACTCTGACCGATTGATGCTTCATGAGCGTCCATCATACATAACAAAAGAGCAGCTGACGGATGCTTTTACTCCATGCAAGTTGAACATGAGCACATAATAAATCAGGCTTTAACATGTTTTGTTTCGTCAAGAAGTGAATCATTGAAGTGGCTTTCCATTGATGTGAATCTAAAAAATAACATCTCGGAAAGCTCTAAATTTAATGAAAGTGGATTTCGATAAAGAACAGTCTGGCTTCCTTTTCTTTTGACGAGCAAAAAGAACACACACCCTAACCCTAGATTTCCAAAGGTCACTTTTCTAGTTATAATACAGGCAAATATATTTGAACTCAGCAAATCTTTCGGACGATGCCAACTCAAGAACATAATGGTGTTATCAGCTGCTTTAATGAGACAAACACGAGTAGGCGATTTCATGCATCTGAGTTTTGATGTAACAAGAGAATAACAGGCCATCTTTTTGTGAAAGTTTCAAGAAAAAAAGTTTATCTGGTTGCAATAGACTGCCAGGAAAAAGATTGGTCTAAAGATCTAACGGACTGGCGTATTATGCGCCAGTTCACGAAGAAGTTACTCCTCTAAATGGACAACAATGATACAGATGCCCAGGATTTGTCATACCTGCCCATTGGCATAAAGTGATCCATCTCTTCCACCAGCATCCTCACCCATACCAACATCGGACATTGCCACATCAACGAGAGACTGCAGCATGTTAAGAGCATAATATAAGTCAAGATTTTCGGCACAAGGGTGCATGTAATTTGAAATTCTAAGTGCTGGTGATGCATAAACACCGACTAATTATTCAATATATAAGTGCACAACACATGATGTAAGTCTGGCTGGGCAAGTCAAGCAAAACAATGTCTTTGTTCGGTGCCATCAGTGCATTTTAATATATGTGCAAACTTATATAAGATGCGACGTATCCATGAATACAGCAACCTTGTTCGGTTTTCTTCATATTTTTATGTTTTAATTAAAATTTACATTGTAGAAACTAGATCAACCTCGTTCAGTTCTCTTCATATCTGCCTCATCCCTTGTTGATTCTGCTGCCACATCTTCTTTCCCAAAGCATAATCCCACCAAGTCCACATCCACCACCATCTTTGCCACGTCATCGATACCTCCACCGCCATTATGATTCGCCACGTTCTTTACCACCATCACATTCCCTATTCTACCATCTTTATCATTCTGATGATTAAGCTAGTGTCACAACCCTGGATCAACTCATCCACCACCACCACCATCACATTCCCTATTCTACCATCTTTATCAGTCTGATGATTAAGCTAGTGTCACAACCCTAGATCACCTCATCCACCACCACATTGAATGCTTCACATCATTGTCATATCCCCACGAACACTAAAACAGCCACCATCATCACAACTCCTTTAAGGTCACATTCCTATCTCTCCATTACAAAATAACAGAGAGGCAGAGACTGAGGATATGAAAAAGAGGAAAATCATTGGTATTTGGTGGAAAAGAACCCACTTTGTGATCAACCAGGGGGCCATGGAGGTCCGACTTTGAGTTCACCCTTGATAATTGTAGGTGGACACAAAGGGGCTCTGATGATGGTGGATTGGGAGAACATTTTCAACGACGGAATGAATCTCTGGATTTCTTACAGTGAGAAGAGAAGAGGTGAAAATGGCAGGCGAGGGCAACATGAGCTATTAGAATTAAGGCTTTGAATGAGAAAAAAAAGATGAGAAATTAGGCACACCTTTGCCTCTGACCAATCAACAGGCAAATGCAGAACGCCGCAATATGATTTATTATATTAGCTTCATGGAACAAGGTTAGATGGTCATGACCCAATTTGGACAAGAAATCCTCAGCCTTCCTGGCAGATCACCAATGAATTCATGCCTAAAACTCGAGGTCAACCTAAAGGAGAATGAGACTTGAGGTTGAAAATACAACATTTTGGACATATTATGGTTCAAATATAATTTCCGGTATCTTGCATAGATGGTGAATTCCCTGTGTGTCATTTGAAGGCTAGAAACCAGCAAAGGCCAACAAAAGATGCAGGGTCTATGTAGGGCGGCCAGCTGAATAGCCTGGGATTAAAGCTTCTCCTATGTGGATCTGCACTCGAATGGAAAATGATTCCTCACCACCGGAAAAAGGAGTGGGGTTCATCAAGAATGGTAATTTTAGAATATGTAAATATCCAATATTGCTTTTGCTTCCATCATCATCAATACCCTCTAGCAGTACATGTGAATACACAATATCATGACCAACACCAAAAAATACCACTTAGCATGCACTATTTCTCTTCCTTTCACCTGTCAAACTAGAAAATCTCTGATTTCAATTGCTTCTTCTGCAATATACAAGTGTTTGCTACTGTAGCAACACTTCTGCCTCTTACAGACTGAGATTGCCTTGGCCATAGCCAGTAATCTCTCATCTCAATGTTTATACTTATTTTCCCTAACAGAAGAAACGAAACTGCTTTCTATCAGGAATACAGTACATTACTTTCCTTATATGTGACTGCTTTTGAATAACTTAAAAAGGAATAGGTAGCCACTACAAACTAACCTGGAGTTCGTGCTCAGAGCTTTTGAGCCTTTCAGTATAGTCCTGAGCTCGAGCAAAGCAAGAATGCAGCTGAACAACGGTTTTTAGAAAAGAATATTCATGTCAATTTTTCGATTTGAGTACTGGACAGGAAAAATAAAAAACGTGCTGTTTGGATAAACTTATGTACCTTCATCAGCATCGACTGCCTTTGATAGGTAAGCTTCTTCGCAGCCGTCAATGCATCCTCTAGTTTCTGTACTTGTGAAGTGTATCAATCAGGCAAAGAATTGATAATGCAAATAAACGAAAATTGATTTGACTGTTTAAATAGAAAGGGACACAAATAACAAACAAAGTTTAGATAGGATGCAATTGCAGCTGATGACAGCACTAGCGAGCAAAATTGTAATTACCTGATATTTCATTTGTAAATCTGAAATAAGATGCTGTTTCTCATCGATCTTCTCCCCAACAATAGTAAGCTGATTGAACACAAGATTAACACATTTTTCAGGAGAAAATACTAAATTAACAATCAGAAACAAATAATATTGTGCAGCAATTTTTGGAAAAATAGGGCCATGAACAAGCATATCTTGATAGCTATCCACATGGCTTGTTTACTAAAAAATAAGATGTTCTCAATGAAAAGGATAAAATATTTGGCAAATAAGCTATGAAGCTCAAATTAACATGTAATGAAACTAGGCCACAGTTCATGTAATATATGGTTATTATCTTAAGAACATATTTAATATATGAGGAATATGAGCAATTCAAGTTTCTTCTAATAAAGTTATATGTGCCAGTATGAACATTTCCTCAGGGTTGGCCAAAGATCTTAGCTGATGGTTGGGCCGTTCTGTAACCCGGAAATAGGTCTGCGAGATAGTACTTTACAAAGGCAGAGCAGTAGAACAGATAACTTCACATTCGTGGAATATTCTTTCTTTTCGATACAGGGGCAATTTAGTTTTATTTTGTCTTTGGAGTAAAATTACTTATTTAGGACGTTTTTGCAAATGTAATAAGTTGTCATATGAGAGCAATCTCTTTGTTTCTATACAAATTGTCAAATTTAGTCAAGAAGAAAAAGGGAATCAAACTAATATGAGACATGATTGGAAATGATCGATTGAAGATTCTCAATGGAAGATCTCACAAATATGAAAGATCTTTTTAAGCAAAAGATACAAGTGAAGATTCTCTAAATTTGGTAGATGGGATGATTGATTCCTTGATGTAAGAAACTAAAATTTCTCTATTTGTATTTTTTTCTCTTAGGAACTATAAAAAGGCAAAAGAGTTATATCTTACAATAATCATATTTTAGAAAAACAAAATATTTTCCATGCTTTCATCCTTCATCAGATTTGATATAAAGGCACTCGTCTTACATCACTTAATAATAACTATGCAGACAAATATATTATGATGATGACCATAAAGATACAAAGTGAAAACAATCCATTATAACCCATTCCAGGAATGAAGCAACTTAATATATACGTTAAAATCATGCATTATTAACTCTAAAATAAGCCAGACAATGAAGCACCTCCTTTTGAAGATCCTCCCGTCTTTGAATGGATAACTCCAGCTTCTCTTTCACCTGGTCAAACATTACAAAATGGACAAGAAAGAATGAAGTAATACAGCAGAACTCGATGTCGCTCATGAGAATGAATCTAAATAAACAAACATTAAGTTAATGGTCTTTCACCTGGCCGTAATAATCATCACTAGAATTTGATGATAAATCTCTGCTTGGATGCTCATTGAAATCAGCACTGTTGAGATTAGCAAACCGAAGTCAACAAATGTTTCAGAATTCACCATATTGTCAAACAGAGACAATATACACCAAAAAGTGAACTTGCAGTACATTTGGATCCGAAAGAACCAAAATCAAACAGCGACAATATATTAAAAAAATGGCAAGATGAAGCAAACTACTCAAGAGTGTTTCCAGTCTAACTGGAGTTGACCTATTGTCAGGGGAGGTCCAAGCACACCTGAAAGGGCAATGGATGGGAAACCATGATTTATATCTCACAGTTACACCATGTTCACATAAAGATCAATCACCTAATTTTTAGGACAATAAAAGAAAATAATATTGTGGTAAGCAAGAAAAAGAATGAACACCGATAAGAACAAAAAACAAACTAAATACAAAATAAAAATCCCAATATAATCATAAAAAGAGTGACCCAATGCATAAGGCTCTCGCCAAACCAGCATGTGAGGCGAGTCAATGTATGAAACCTTACCACTTCAAGCAAATAAACTATTTTCACCAACACAAGCATTAATTTTAAAACAAGAACTATCAACAATCATGGAAGCCTATTAGAAAAAGGTAAAGGCTAAAAATATAACAACTTTACCTTATGAATATACCGAACCTGGTCTGGGTAAAAAACTAAACACAAAACGAGACCTAAACTTTAATGTGGCTTAGGTTGAAATGATGCTCTACAGTCCACTCATATAACCTAGGGTCTAAGGGCCTTAGGAACACTGGTCCTCTTGTCATGTGTCTCTCCCAGTGCAAATTCTTGCAAACCAAAAATTTAAGGAGTGTCAGTCTTGTGCAAGCTACATACTCAGGTGTCCAAGCTCAAGGTCTTTTTATTTTTGATGTCAAGTTTCCAGGAAAATTTTTCACTATTAAATTTAGACTATACTAAGTATATAACTTGGATAAGACCAAGGGCTGTCAAACGCAACCATTAAATTTATATTTTTTTCATTAATTACTCCAAGGAAAAAAGTATCTTTTAACTTTCTTTCCCAATTAACTTTATTTCTATGTACAAGGAAATTCATGTCAAAGTGAGAACCGCTGCAGTCACAGTGTATCTGTCTTTCTAACAATCTTTGAAATATACACACCAACTCATAGCAGGTAAGACGGTATGTAAACCTAACAATATTAATGACAAAATAATCTCAGAGATTACCCATTTTTTTGTCTCAGTTGTTGCTCCTTATCCATGTCTTTGCCTCCATCATGATCTTTAGTTTTGTCCACATCTCTATCATGGTCCCAGTCCATGTCACGATCCCCTTCCCAATCTCGATCATGGCCTCCTGGATGCTCATGGTCATCGCCTTCTCTATCTCGATCTTGATCCAAAGGGTGTGATCTTGCTCGATCAAAGTTACGTCCACGCTCAATATCTATTTCTCTTTCCCTTTGTCTATCATGATCTCGGGACCGCTCATCATTTCTATCTAGGTACCGAAATCTGTCCCGCATATGATCCCTCTCTCTTTCCCTGCCCCTCTCCCAATCATCATCCCTATCAGAATCTCGATGGAAATTTTCACGATGAAAGTTTGGCCTTCCACCCCTTGAATGAACTTCATTTACTCTTACAACTCTTCCTCCAATTTTCTGGTTAAGAAATTTAAACATCAATAGCTCAACTATAAAAGGTAGCGACATATGTTTTTATGTTCACATCAGACTAACAAGACAGTACCGGAAACACATTATTTAAATGCCCTATTTGGATAGAGAGCAAGAAACATACCCTGCCATTCATGTCCATAATAGCATCAACAGCTGACCTAGGGTTTCTAAATGTAACAAACCCATAGCATTTTCCTCCAACTTGTCGATCATTTATTATCTGCGGTCGAAGAATTGCATGATAAGAATAACAGCTGTCTGTGAAATAAGAGTTTTTTACTGTTTAAAAGAAGATTTCATGGAAAAGATTATGGCAATGATGAAGTTACATACAAAAAGTTGATGTATAATAATTACACTCCCTCATATTTATTTACAAGAAAGAGGAAGATTAAGAGCATATAGCAAATTTGACCAGCTTATGACAAACCATTCTGCAACTGGTATAATGTTTGTCAACACCTTCATGCATATTCACTATTTAGAAAAACAAATGTAGCCCTAAAGATTGGAGAAAGAGATGAAGCGATGGAGTACAAAGCCAACATGGCTACCAAAGATCCTACAAGAGTGGTTTTCAGCAGTGACAGCTGAAATCACCTCTCAGACAGGTTTAATATGAAGAAAATCTCAAACCAAGAATTACAGGCTGGTGGGGGAAACCAAAACAGTTGTTGCATAACAAAGAACAGGAAACTTAGAATTTATAAACAAAAAAATGTTCCCAAAGCCAGAAGAATTTTCTGATCTAGCAGAGCTCTTCAAGTAGCAATAAAATAGACAGCCAGTCATCAGACTAATGCCATAGTTTTGTTAAGCTTTGTGTTGTTTATCTCAAAAATATCCACTCTAAAGATGCAATATGTCTAAGGCTGCTTCATAACCTCATCCAATGCCAGAGATGACTTCCCACGAAAAAAGAAAAAAAAACACATGTCAGTCGACTGATAGCATAATTGTTGATAATATCTGTACTATCACGAAACAGATACTTTTCTCCACTCCATCAACAGCTCTTACTGTAATATGGTAATTTTTTATTAAAGAAATACCTGTATATTTAGGAAAAAAGGTATCTTCTTGACCTAATTCTGAATCTTGATAGGTAACACTATTACGATCAGTATGACATTCTGAGATTTCTCAGTTCAGAACAGGAACTCGAACTTACTGCCAAACTTTTCTTCTCTAGATGCCTCAGCAAGATACTCTACCATTTGAAAAAATAGCTATTTTTTTGCAAACTTCTTTGCTGTTTGAAAAAGAAGACATCTCTTCTCAATTCCAAGTTTTGATGTGCAACACATTGCGCATTCAAAAGACACCTCCATACAGCAACTCGAATTCACTACCAGTAACCTCATCATGTCCAGATCCTCATCTCAGGGAGGCTCTTCGCAGTGTGCAAATTAGTTAATTTTCATTCAATATTCTTTTTTATTTAGAAAAAAAGGTGTCTCCTTGTAGCATTTCGAGTTTTGACAGGTAACCTAAATCAAGAACAAAATGACACTCTGGATCTCTTCAATTCATCCAGCAAAGAACTCGAATCCTCTATTTTTCAACCCCATCTCCTCCGCAATCATTTGCCACCCTCAGGTGACTCCAGGTGCTCAAACAAGTGAGAGTCTAGGGTTTTGGAGAAATCCGACTCCAAGCTCCCTCAAAACCCTAACACGACAACGTGCCATTCGGCTCCCAAAAGAAGCAACTTGAGGAATGAGAAAATAGGAGGGAACCGGGGAGGAGGAGGAGGGTTAGGTGACGGACCTTGACGTCGACGATGGCGCCGTAGAGGTCGAAAGCGCGGCGGAGGTCCTCCTGAGTGCAATCGTAGGGGAGCCCACCAACGTAAATTGACTTCTCGTCGTCCAACGTCATCGCTGCCCCCGCCGAAGCAGATACCTCCTCTTTCCCCTCTCGCGTGCTCCACTCGCTTCTCTGAGGAGGAGACGGTGAGCTGGGGCAAGAGAACGGCCGAAGAACTTCTTTTCGATCGGCCATTTCATCCCTTGTCTTGGGCCTGATGGAGTTACGGGCTCAGCCCAAGACTTGTCTCTTACAAGTCCATCACCAAAGCAATACACCATTCCCTTTTATAGTCCTCATCAGCCCACTTCAACTGAAATAACTGCCTCGTCGGCCATGGCGACTCCTCTCCCCTTCACTTCCACTGTCCCTCTTCAACTGAAATAACTGCCTCGTCAGCCATGGCTACTCCTCTCCCCTTCACTTCCACTGTCCCTCTTCAACCTCCACCGCCAAAGGACCGCCCACCCCACCATCTCCTAGAGAGATGCACTACCATGGCCGAGCTCAAGCGGGTGCACGCCCGAATGATCCGTTCCGGCGTCGCCTTTGCCCCCCTCCCCGCCAGCCATCTCGTCTCCCGTTGTGCCGCCGAAGACTTCGGTTCCCTCGACTATGCCCGCCTCGTGTTCCGACAGATCCCCAGTCCCACCGCCTTCACCTTCAATTCCATAATCCGTGGCTACACCAACAAGAACTTCCCATTGGAGGCCCTCCACTTCTATGTCGAGCTGATCGAAGGCGGCCTGGTTCCTGATAGCTTCACGTTCCCCTCGCTCTTCAAGTCTTGTGGGTTTCTCGCCGAAGGGAAGCAGCTCCATTGCCATGTGGTCAAGTTTGGGTTCTCCTCGGACATTTATATCCAGAACACGTTGATGAACATGTACGCGGCTCGTGGCTGCTTGACCTCCGCCTGCCAGGTGTTTGAAAAAATGGGTGAGAAGACAGTTGTTTCTTGGGCCACCATGGTTGCTGCTTACACGAGGTCGGACCACTTGTCCGAGGCACTGGATCTTTATCGGCAGATGGAGTCGAAGAACGTAACACCGAATGAGATCGCGCTGGTGAATGTTCTCACGGCTTGTGCGAGAGCAAGAGATCTAGAGACCGGGAAACGGGTTCATAAGTACATCGAAGAGCATCGAATCGGGTTCGATTTGGTCCTCTGGGCGGCGCTTTTGGATGTTTACTGCAAATGTGGTTGCGTTTCGCGTGCTCGACAGCTTTTCGGTGAGATGCCGGAGAGGAACTTGTTTTGTTGGAACATCATGATCAAAGGGCATGTGGAGGATAGCGATTACAAGGAAGCATTGCGATTGTTCCGCGAGATGCAATTCATGGGCATCAAGGCAGATAAGGTGACCATGGCGAGCTTGGTTCAGGCGTGCTCTCAGCTCGGTGCGCTCGAGCTCGGGAAATGGTTTCATGTGTACATAGTGCGGGAGAAAGTCGAGGTGGACGTTGTTCTGGGGACTGCTCTGGTGGACATGTACGCGAGGTGTGGGTGCATAGAAAGTGCATTCAAGGTCTTCGGTGATATGCCTCGCAGAGATGTCATGACATGGACAGCCCTCATCGGAGGACTTGCAGTGTGCGGGCACGCGGAGAGAGCGCTGCAGACCTTCCACGAGATGCAGAGGATCGGAGTGAAGCCCGACGCAGTCACCTTCGTCGGCGTGTTAACAGCTTGCAGCCACGCAGGCCTCGTAGACGAAGGCTGCTCCCATTTCGACTCGATGGCGAGCATCTACAACATCCAGCCCAGCGTCGAACACTACGGTTGCATGGTCGATCTGCTGGGTCGAGCCGGTCAGATAGGGAGGGCAGAAGAACTGATACGAGGCATGCCCATGGTGCCGGATCGCTTTGTGCTCGGAGGCCTCTTGGGCGCTTGCAGAATCCATGGCAACCTTGAGGTGGCCGAGAGGACTGCGCAGAAGCTCATGGAGCTGGACCAGAAGCATGGAGGGACCTACGTGCTGTTATCCAACATCTATGGCTCGTTGCAGAAATGGGATGAGGTTGGCAGAATAAGAGAGCTCATGTCAGAGAGGGACGTGAAGAAGCCACCCGGATGCAGTCTGATAGAGATGGACGGGGAGGTTCATGAGTTCGTCATGGGGGACGAATCACACCCGCAGTCCGCTGAGATTTACGCCATGGTGGAGGACATGATTTCCAGGCTGAAGGAAGCGGGATACGTGCCCAACAAGTCCGAGGTGCTATTGGACATGGACGAGGAGGAGAAGGAGAACGCGTTGTGCCGGCACAGTGAGAAGCTGGCCATTGCCTTCGGGCTCATGAGGACGGCCCCGGGGACGCCGATCCGGATCATCAAGAACCTTCGTGTTTGCGGTGACTGCCATGCTGCAACCAAACTCACATCGAAGGTCTACGGGAGGGAGATCATCGTGCGCGACCGGTGCCGTTTCCATCACTTCAGAGATGGATGTTGTTCTTGCAAAGATTTCTGGTGATCATAACAATTAATATTGATTCTAGTCGTTCGATTTAGAGTGTTGATTCGGTTGAGTAACCCGTAAAGGCTGAGTCGTGTATCCAACAAAGATTCCTTCTACGTTTGGTATATAGAAATGTGGGTAGAATATAGGGGATTCGCTAATGCCAAATGTAATGAGCCTGAGACTTTGATGAATGTACTTTTAGATCTTTCTGATCAAAATTATCCAACACTCGTCTTTCCTCACAAGTTTATTTTGATAGCAGATACTTAAATAACAGTACAACACAATAAAATAGTTGATTGCGTCTTATGCCAAAACAGATCAGATTACTGGCTTCTCACCAGCTCTTCTCATGTTATTCCTATCTGATGGAACCCTAAATTAACAAAAGTTTCTCATCATCCCTAACATCTGTCTTTCTAATCGTACCAGAAAGGGCAGCTTCATTGACTTCGGCCAGTGGAGGTTTCCGATGAACTCTCAGACTCGGAAGCTAATTTTTCCTTCAAAGGCGACCCATTTGTTGAATCCTCACTTGCTATAGATTCATGAAGAGAATCATTCTCTCTTGGCTTTACCCCCTTGGCAACCAGCCCATCAGTGTCCTCCCTCACTGCCGCGATCAAAGGCTCTTTCGCCTTTTCTTTCCGCATTTTCTCCTTCTCGAGCTCCTTCTTAGCCAAAGGAGAGAACTGAGAATCCAAGGATCTTGCAGCACCCAACCATGCAAGAACAATCACCAGCAGTATGCCTCCCAGGTATGGGGTCGAGTTCGCCAGAGACCCAAATGTCAAAATCATAAACTGCTGGATCAGTGCACCTCCTGATTTTCCCAAGGGGTTGCAGACGACGTCAATCGCGGCCTTCCCTTTAACCTGTAATTTATCAAAAACAAGCACTGAATATCTCACAATGACAGCGTATGGGGTACTTTGGTCATACGGGTTAGTTTCACAAAAGAGGGAAGACCAGAGAAAAAGTGGTGTTTCGTAGTAGATAAACAAGTCAAGAAGTCAGATGCATATTCTATCAGGTAAAAACATTCGTGAAAGAATGAACCTTGAACCAACTTATACTAAGATATAATTGGAGCCATACACTAATGATATAAGCCATATTATAAAAGGAGATGAAACATGCAGCTGCTCATATCAAAATATAATAGGACACAAAACACTGACCTTCATCTCTTCGTCTAAAGGAATATAAGCCATTTCTTTGCAAGGATCAAACAAGCTGTACTTTGCACTCTTGCTGAAAATGTTTTGTAATGCCCCCACGTAAACAGCAGCAAGCAGAGGAGTCATACCAAGACTTCCCAGAAGAGGAGCCAAAGGCTCACCAAACAATAACAATGAGAAGAACCCAACTCCTGTCAGGAGCAAAACTGTGGGTGTAATCATAGCTGCCACCCCCCAACCGAATTTTCGGAGTATCAGTCTGCCTAGCAACATCATTGTGAATGTTGCAATCCCAGTAGCAGTTGAGAAATCACCCATGAAGGATGAATATTCGTTTGGACTGGGGAACTGCCAAATAAATGCGCAGACGTAAGTTTGAATTATGTGGGTGCTGAAGGGCAAAATGCAACCATCAAGGAAGAAAGTTTACCTGTGCCTTGAGCTTTGACTTCCATGTGACTTCTACCAGGTTAATGCTTATACCATAAGCAACCACCAAGGTGGCTAGGTCTCTGACATATCTAGATGACAGCAAAACTTTTAGGCTCTCATTCATACCTAGCTTTGGCTTCTCCTGCACAATGAATAATCTTCGATAGTTAGTGCTAAAACGAAATTAGCCAAAACAAACCAATTGCTTACCTTCTTTTTGCGATCTGATCTTGGAAGAGATGGATCATTCACAACAAATGTATTCACCCCCCAATAGATTGCACATATCACGAAGCCAAGAAGCACAACAATGCTCATCATTCCTTTTAGTGAAATTGCCCAACCATCAACCCCTGGTCCCAAATTCTTACGCAGGTTAGAGAAGTATTTGACCGTTCGTCCTGAGAAGATGAGTGCAATATTAGCTCCAAGTCCGAACAATGGGTAGAATTCCTTGGCTTCTTCAACTGTAGTAATCTGCAAAAGGCAAGGGATCAGTATGTCTAAGCATCTTTTGAAGCTGAAATCATCACTTGCATCATTAATCAAGTTTCAACATGCAGACATGCATTCATTTGGCATATGTCACATGAAAGGCATAAACTGGCATAATCAGAGTACCACCATTGAGAAAAGAACAGAATAAACAACCATCATAATAACGAACCAGTGCAGTCTCAATGAAAAAGGTTAAGTTAACAAAGAGGACAGCTTAAATCAGATGAACAAGATCTATTATAAACTATAGAAGAAAACATAAATGGGGCAATCTTCACACCTGAAGGTCCAGGTAATTTTATAGCTATTTCCCATGCAAGCAAGCAGTGATTGCTGTTTTGTTGTGTTACAGGCCAACTGGTCAGTGAAGAAAGCACTGATCAACTTCCTCATATGCTACATGTTAATCTGATATCAAAAAGATTTGGCAGTCTCTCCTCTTATGCACATACAAACAATTCTAACAGACTTGAAAGACAAACCTATGGCAGTAATTGGCACTTAATGAGCTCATCTTGAGTTTGTGGGATATCTCGATCATAATCTAAACATCAAAAATTCATGTCTGGTAATGAAGACTATTCACTTGGTAAGTTATTGTCA